CTTAGAGGTGGCACTGACCAACGCATGGAAGACGACTCTAGGTCCAGGGTACCGAAGTGTATCGCTGAGAGGCCTGGGAACTGGACGAGAGCAGCGGGGTGGGAGGGCCTTCCAGGTGGCAGGGTTTCTGGTTCTCAGTCCAACACATCTGCCCCACAGCAAGATCCAAAGGCTGTCTTGGGTCCATTGAAGTTTTTTGAGATTTCTTGAGTCTCATGACCCAAGTTGCCCTTCTAGTCCCTCTGCTCCATAGACACAAGCCCTCACCGAGCTCCAGCCCTCTGGAATCCTCGGCCAATGGCAGGTGGGAGATAGCCTTGTTTCTTGGCAACCACAGGCCTAGAGCAACCATAGCTCCCTTGAAAAGGAATGTGTTAATATGCTGCTCTAACATATGATACCAAACATGCTGGTATCACTATGTTTGATCACCATGAATCAGTATTCTAGGGCATAATGGCAACCCCCCGAAGACGCAGCCTCCCACACGGTGAGGCCTGCCCTGCGAGAGCCAGCCAGCCCAGGTCCCCATTACAGGAGGAATCCAGGGAGCTGGAGGCAAAGCTCTAAGCAAGTAGGAGAAATCCCAGCCATTAAGCGCATAACATAAAGACTAAACTAGAACCACAGTGGGAAAGTTCCTGTCAGTACCGAACTTCTTTCCCAGCTCCTGTTTTAGAGGCTGATCATGATTCTCGTTACCTATCTTGGTGCCTCTGGGGTCTCAGTGCACAGGATTGAGGCTGTGTGCCCTCAGGGGTCAATGGCAAACAGGCTTTTTAAAGTACAAGATCTGACAGCTCATCTCAAGCCCCATCACGTAAACAACTGCTTACTCTACCTACTTAAAAGTAGGCTGTGCACCTGCATATCTCAAAATGGAAGATATAAACATACCTTCATAGTCCAAAAATAAGACATTTTGAGTTCAGGCTTGTTTCTCAACAGGGAACAAGACAGACAAACAGGCATTTCATTTGAATGTAAGGGCTCTCACACCTGTCTGGTAAGCTAGCGTGCCGAGGCATTTTGCAAGTGTCCCGAGGAAACAAGTACGTTAGGGACTGAATTGTGTCCCTCCACAATTTGCACGTTGGGGCCCTGAAGCCCACTGTGATGGCATTTGGAAGCAGAGCCTTTGCAAGGTAATTAGGTCATAAGGTTTTCAGCATGGATGTCCCCGTGATTGAAGTACAGTCCTTTTAAGGAGGAGAGAGATCAGAGTTCCGTCTCACTGCTCCATGTGAGGACAGAGTGAAAAGGTCGCCATACGCAAATCTACAAGAGGGTCCTCACCAGGAAAATGAATCCGCTGGCACCCCAACCTTGGACTTCCCAGGAGCGTGAGGAATAAATTTTTATTTATAGCCACCCAGTCTACAGTATTTTTTTTATGGCAGCCTGAGTTGACTAATGCAGTAAATATCTTTTAAATAAAATTTAAAAAAATGGTCTATTCACATTCTCTTAACACCTGCTATTGGAATCTCTCACTCTGCACACGTTGGTTTTCTAGTGATGTCCCGTGAGTGGCACAGGCTTCACAGTGATATTCTGCCCATAAAAAAACCTGATTCAGTAATAACCTATGAAGACTGGGTCATTCACTGGGATGCCAGGGACCAAGGCAAGAGCTAAGCTGGAGTGTCCACTCTCAGAAGCTGACAGTGACCAGAGGGGAGGGGCGAGGCAGATAACAAGGTAAAGAAGGGAAAGGGCCAAGTCAAGGAACATCTATAAAGGACCCATGGACAAAGACAATGGCAGGGACTGAATGTGGAAGCTGAGGGGTGGGCAGGGCAGGGGAGAATAATGAGGGGAAATGGGGATAACTGTAATTGAATGACAACAAAAAACTTGTAAAAGAAAGTTGAGTCTAAAGCCACTGGATCAACACCAAAGGCTGGAGTTGAGAACAAGAGCAAGATGGTGTCTGCGGCCCTCGAGTCAAACAAATCAGATGACACGTCTACAGGAAACCAGCCCCGCGCTCTGCTCAGTCCCACATCCCTATTCTCTAGTGGAAGAAACCTGACAGCACGTGACTGCATAAACAAATTTGGGGGGGTCGTGTATACACCGTTATAATGACAGGAGCACGAAGGTTGAACCACAAAATACACAAATGCATCTTAAAGTCTGGTTAGTGGAATATCATAAACAGACAGTGCTATTGATAGAACTGCACATTATAACACACACTCTAGGGCTAACAACAAACACAGCAAGCTCACGTGATCATAAACTTAAACAGCAGTTTTTCATTATAAACAAAAATAACAATGAAAAACCTTGGCCGACTGAAAACAACATGGCGGATGTGCCCTACACAAAACACCCCTCTTTCAATTTTGAAAATTCCAACAAAAACTTGTTTGTGGGCATACGCAGCGCATTGTGGCTGAGACTTCCTGAGAAGGACGTGCCTCTGGGGGGTCTGGGGGTCTGCCAGCAGGAGGACCCCTGGCTGCTCTGTGAGGGTTGTGTGCCAGTGAGCCAAGAGGCTGGGTTCCTGGCTGAGCCTGCTGCCCAGGATCCCCTGGGTTTTCAGGGCTCTTCCCTACTTGATTAAATAGCTCATGGCGGTCCTGCTGCAGTTGCCTGAGAATCCCAGGGGAACCTGCCTGTTCCGTGATGCTGTTCCGCCCTCCTTCCCAGCAGTGACGAAGGAATGGCATTTCTGGCTATTTCCAGACTGGAGCTCTCTCCTGCGGCCATTCTATAAATAGAGTGTGATGAGTTAGGAAATAATGTTAAGAAATAAGAGACAAATATTTGGCAGCTGCCTATGATGTGTACATGAACAACATTTCTAGGTGTAGCAGTTAAAATATTTCAGCATGATAGTGTACTCTATCAGAGCTTTAAAAGCATGGGCTCGGAACCAAGAGGTATTTGATCTTTAAGGGTGGTATTTATGGGCATCGCTAAAATATGCTAAGAATGTAAACCTGTTGAACAGAAATTTCTAAACTAGGCCTTAATTTGAGCACTAAAAAGCCTGAGCAAACCTAGCAACGATAAATACAGACAACCGTTTCCTTCAGCTAAGCCGGGACATGCTGTCCCTCCATGTCTTGAGCAAGGCTATTGAAGCCAAATAATATATTTTATAAGTTGAAACATTTGATTTTCACTTGTATGCAGGAACATGTAACAAGCTTCTAAAGAGACCAAGAAGCTCTAACTAATGATAGGGAATAATTAAGAGATTAGTTTACAGTATTTATATCCTAATGCCTGGATACGGTACATTTTCCATCATGTCGTCAGAAGGAGTAGAGCCTATAAACACAAATCAGAAATCCTAAAGTAATGTTCATTTCCAGAAAAAACAGGAAAGGCTATAAACAAGATAAACTGCACTGCCCTCACATACTCCTAACAAAAGTTTACAATTTCCTGCAGAAGAAACATACCAGCTGCTTCAGGATGTGGGTAAGACAAGCATGTTCCTGTGGTAACAATTTCCCAAACAAGAAAAGAGCTAAAAAGACAAATCTTTGCTAAACTGCAGACTTACCAGGTCTCCTCATTTATGAGAACAAGAATAAAGTAAATCGAGCTTGTTTAAGAAATAAGTTAGAAGTCAGTATTCCATGAATCAGCAAACTCTGTCAAATGCAATGACAATTTACAATGGAAGAAAATACCTTTCCATAGCTTGATAGTGTGAAAGCATTTTATGTTGTAAGGTTATACTTCAGGTTGACACACTACCTCTAGTATATTCTATAGTCAAACTAAGTAAATATGCACATATACCCCATAAGATTCTATTCAATCCTTAATAAATCATAGCTCGATAGTACTTCTTTTAGTAATACAGACATACATTCACCCAATTAAAATATGGTGTACATTCAGTTTCTCATAATCTCATTTTCTTAATCTCCTTATCTTTTTTCCCATCAGTTTATCTTCTTTCAAAATGTATGTATTGTGCTATTTTACACTTTGCCATGTTCATTGTCACTCATTTTCTTTCTTCACCCATCCTTTCTTCAACTACTGATTGAGTGAGTGCTCACTGAGTGTGCAACCAATGCCTGGGTCAGATCTCTGTTCTCATGGTGCACTACTGCCCTGCAGGAACCCACTCGATATTTCTAACGATTAAAAGCCTCATTCTTCCTGTCACTGAAGAGTCAGTCTACCCAACCTGCCCATTCTTCAGTGGGTAGATTCTACCCAGATCTTCCACCCAACACCTACTCATTTCGCGTCTTCCCTCCCAAAGGGGAGATGAAGCGGCTGGGCAGAGCAGGGTGGCGCAGAGAGAAACGGATGCGTGTTGTGTGCATGTAATAATATACAGTGAAAATGGCTAAGGGTTCAGTCCGCACTGCCTTAAGTTTCAGCACCACAGAATAAAGTAGGCGTATCATTATTGCCAATTCCTACACCGGGGAAGGGAGTTTCAGCACGTACGGGGCCGGTGCCCTGTGGTCTCACGGCCTCCACGTGGCAGTGCCGGCCACGGCCCTCGGTCTGCCCACCCCAAGGCCTCTCAGCAGCTCATAGCCTGACTGGCGCCCAATACAATTTTTTAAAGTTTTTGAATAAAATTGTGTTTGAGTCTATGCTACTCACAAAGCTCAGACCTCCTCTTTCATTTGCCTCCAAGAATATAGTATTTAGATAAAATTTTAAAGAAATACCTTTTAACAAGAATTTTGAAGCAAAGGTAGATAGCTCATACAAAGAAAAATACTGATAGAGAAAATCTGTTTATAAAATTCTGAATCTATCTGCCTAGACAATGTATTATATGCCTTTTACCAGAACTTTCTTAATATTACTGGGAATGAAATAATAATTATAAATAGTTAGGCATTTAAAATTAGTACTATAATACAAATTAAACCAAGGGAAATGTGCAAACATAAAATGCCCATTTTTATTAATAGGAATAAAATGAAATAGTATCACAAAATAATGTTAAAGAAACACCATTTATTATGTTGCGTTCCCCTTAATTACTTCCCCTTAGCTTGTACCTTATATTCTCCATAATCACTATTATCTAGCAAGTCCCTTTTCTCCAGTTCTACAAGTTGTTCTGCAGTGGGCTTAGCTGGTAGATCCTTAATACAGGATTGCTCATAAATGGGCTTTCCATGAAAAAACAGCTCCTTCCAATCATGCATCAGCTTATATGGAATCAGGCTACAGCAATAAAAAAAAAAGGAAGAGATGAATCAATGGTTAGTCAAATATACACCTTAAACCTTAGTCTATTGTCTTATTCATTCTCAGGGTCTGCTGTTCCAGACCAGAAATTTCAACTTGCTATTATATTCTTAATGGCTAACAAAATGTCTGGGACTTAGCAGGTCTGAATCAATGAATATTTCTTAAAGCCACTGGTTCTTCAAGCTTTCTAAGTGGCTGTGAACTAATGGAGCAATATATTAAAAAACAATTAGCACTATGACCAACACTTCAATTTTAGATTCCTTGTTGTCTTATTAAATGGCTCTGTATCATTAGAAAGTTATTTAAATGCTCTAGCAATAGTGTTTTCCTATGCAAAACTATTGTGGAATACTTTCCAAGGCCCCTTTAAGACACTGGTTGGTTTACATATTTTCATGTAATTTGTAACAGAAAGATCTAAATCTAACGTATGGGTTGTCTCATTATCACTGAACATTGGGTAATCCTTAAAATTATTTGCAGTAATTATTTCCATTTAACTCTGATGAATGGTGTGGAGGAGGTGGTCAGACAGAGTAATGGGAAAACGGTTCTGGGGCAAATGAAGTGTGCAAAGGAAGGAAAGCGATCGGCATGAGTCAGATACAGTTCTCTAAAAATAGTTGGACTAGAGCTTGAAATTGCAACTTAATGAGTATGATTTCATTTTGAGACATGGGACACCATGGCCGAGCCCGGAAGACATTATGTTAACTGAAATAAGCCAGACTCAAAAGTATAAATGTTCCATGTTTCCACTTACATCAGGTACCTCAAGTAGCCTGTTTCATAGCAACAGAAAGAACAGCGGTCACCAGCGCCGGGGAAGGAGGGAGTGGGGAGTCAGTGTGGGAGGGCTCGAAGCTCTGGCAATGGGTGCTGGTGAGGGCGACATGGCCGTGTGAGTCACTTGGTGCCACTGAACGGCACACTTAATAGTGTTAAAATGATGACTTTTATGTTTTACCACAATTAAAAGTAGTATGTAAATTAAAAGTACAACTTAGAATATGCTCCTATTGTGTTTTTCATTCTGAAATATTAGTAGTTGCTAAAGATGACTTTACGGAGATATGGAAAATCCAGACATCAATCAGCTCCGGCACAGAAATAACATCGGAGTTTTTACAGGGACATTGATTGACATCTGTGGGGAAGTAAAGAGTTAACTACTTCCATGTTGCCCAAATTTAATCCTGCAGTTGCTGAATCAATAGCCTATTATCTGAATATTAATACCTTTTTTAAGGAGCAGTCTTAACAAAAGTTCATGTGAACAGCCTGATGCCAAAATATACCTGGCGCTTTACATACATACATACCGATAAAATCTTGCTTAGTGCGGGACCTGGAGAAACTGAAATGAGTTTATCCTGACTGTTAGTAATGAAAACTAATACAATCTTACCATACAGGGGTGGGCAAAAGTAGATTTACAGCCGTGATACACATAACTAATACAATGGTTCATAAATAACCAGGACAAATTCTGTAACCTGCTTTTGCCCGCCCTTGTCTGTGGGTAGGTATCGTGTGCAGTTGCAATTAAAAGACATTTACATTTTCAAAGTAAAGCCTCCTTGAACGTTCTCTGATATCAACACTTCTAAAACTTCTAAAAAACTTTAAAGTAAAATAAAGTGGTTTTAGATAGACAGTATATTCTCCATATTGATTTTCATGAAGCTGGATTTACAGAGTAGTAAAAGTTAGTCTAGTGTATGCCTCTCTGAAATATTAAAGTCAAAGTAACACAAAAGAAGTTCTGCACTTACTAATATGTTTTGCTCTGGAAGGTGATTTTCAAGTCACTTATTTGACATAGAAATAATACCTACGTGTTTCCCTTTCTGCTTTGGCCACCAGGAAACTCAGATATGGTTGGTAACTCTGTTGCAGTAACTGGCAAATTGACTGCTGCCTGTTTAGCTGTGCTTCCGTTTATCCCCTGCTCTTAACTTTCTACTTTAATTTAAATTTTCCTATGTTCTTTTTTTGTTGTTACCACTCTCCCACCCCAGCCATCCCCATCTCCCTCCCCTGCTTCCACTCTCCCTTGGTTTTGTCCATGTGTCCCCCATGGTTGTCCTGTAAACCCTTCCCCCTTTCCCCTAAAATTCCCTCCCCTTTCCCCTCTGGTCACTGTCAGCCTGTTCTCTATTTTAGTGTCTTTGGTTATATTTTGCTTGTTTGTTTATTTTATTGTTTACATTCCTGTGAAAGGTGAGATCATATGGTATTTGTCCTTCACCGCCTGACTTATTTCACTCAGCATAATGCTCTCCAGTTCCATCCATGCTGTCGCAAAGGGGAGGAGCTCCTTCTTTCTTTCTGCTGCATAGTATTCCACTGTGTAAATATACCAGTTTTTTCATCCATTAATTTATTGATGTGTACTATTTTGGCATGTTCTTAATATTTTTTGTTTTGTTGAATATTTCCTTTTAAATAGCATTAATTATTAGTAAAGCAGTCTTTAAACAATTTCAGTTTTATGGAAAGTTCCAAGTGTTTCAAATAAGTTATCATAGTTGTCTTAGTAAATTATGGAGAATTTAGACACAAAATTTAAGTGTAGAAGATCTAAATTCCTGTTCAATGAAGCTAGTCAGTGACTGAATCAAGTCAGTACCAAGGTACTCGGGACCCCATTCTCAGTCTTCTCTTCAATGAAGCATGTTAGTGTCTTCACACAACCTAGCGTCTCCGTCATGGTCTTAAACTGTCTCATTCTCTGTGGAGTCTCCGCTGTGTTAGATGTAAAAAGCAGTACTTACTTATTTGTCAACATTCGATAGTCTGCCACTTTGGTGGACAAATCCAGTATCTGATCCAAAATCGAGGCGCATATGAGGTAATGCTTTTGGTACCGAGCCTGCGCTCTCTCCACAGCGATCTGCTCGTGGACTTCCCGCTCTCTGACGGCTTGGTCTTCAAAATCTATCTTGGCTTGTTTTGCCAAAGCCTAGGATGGCAAAGACACTTTTAAGTCACCGTGATCATTCAAAGGGAAATAATGTCTTCACTTTAATAACAAAAAAAATCTCTAAATAGCATACAACCACCTTTCACACCAGGAAAAATAAATAAATCCATGACAGAGCCTATTTTCCCTAACACGTTAAGTAGTGAGCATAATAGCAAAGAAGATATTGGAAATATTCCCTGAAAGCTTATCTTATCAGGAAAACACAGTATAGAGAAAACCAGTCTAACGGGGAAAGCCCAATAACGATAAACTGAATCTTAAGTGTTTTAAAAGACACCTGATTTCTCGGGTGTTAAACAGCGTTGGGGGTCACAGAGAAGCAGACTGGTCTGCACCCCACCCCAAGCACATCTGGCCTCTTTGCACGAGTCTAGCGATCCTCAGTCTGACTCCCGGGCTCTGCCCCGTGCTCTTCACCGGGAGAGTTCTAGAAAACTGGCTTATCCTTAGAAACTATTTTAGAAATCCCCTAATTATACTGACCTGGAAATATCGACCACTTGCCAACAAATATTAAATGTTCTCAGTCAACAAAAAAACTTTCTGCTGTTACAGCCTTAATAAATTAAAAAAAATTCACGCATAGAGACATCCATTTCCGCAGAAAGTAACAAAACACTTAAGCCGTTTACGTTGCCCTCTGCTTGGTTTGCACCATTATTTTGTTTAGAAGACCCTGTCTTTACAGAAGTACCAAGGTCAAGCTCAGCACAACCGAATGTTGCTTTGCGCACATCTGTACCTGCTCTTTGAGAAATTCTACCCTGTGCTGACTGACACACTCCAGAAACAAGACTCGCGTCCTGGAACTCAACATAGTGAGGGTGCAGTGGAGGTGAACCTGGGCCTGATGGAGCTGAGACAGGACCCAACCCCCACCCCCACCCCCGCTGTACACAGAAGTCACTCACGAGCTGTGAGAGCCGCACGAACCAGAGCCTCCCTGTGCCTCCACCTTCTCAGTGCAAAGCGGGGACGTTAATAGGACTTGTCATAAACAGAAAAACCCAGAGAACCATCTCGTCATGGCAAATATTCCTTATCATCACCCTGTTCACAAATGACTACATTCGTGACAATAATCTGATATTGTCCATTGCACCAAATGGAAGGCTCATTAGTTTTGTTTTCGCAGTTTTGTTTGTTTGTTTCTTTCATTGTTGGTGGGAGAGGGGTTGGGCTGGGGGCCTCTAGGGTCAATCCTGTATGCCTGGCAGGTTGAGGCATTAGCCCGGAGTTTGTCGTCACTGTTTTGTAGGCTGGTTTCCCAAGGAAGCGTCTGGCGCAGCACACCTTGTGATGCGCGTATGAAGCTTTATGGCGAGCTTCGGGAAGTGCGAGGAGTTCAGGAAAGTCAAGCCTGATAGAGTAGGCGTAGTTAGAAGAGAATTTATGGAGAAAGTGGCAGTAACAATGGGTCATGAGCTGGGTTTACCACAGGGTGCCGGTAAAGGGCACAGAAACATTTAGGATATGATTAAAGCCAAACTCTGATGGGAGCAGTGCACTGTCCCAGCGGGAACGGAGCAGCTTTCCCGGAGGTGCCGCCCCCTTTCTCTCTCCCTCCCTCCTCACTCACGTCTTTTTCCTTCTCTCTAGCCGTCCAGTCTATCCACCACACCACCCCCCCAACCCTGGGCTAAACCCACCATAATTTCCTGTCTCATCGCAGCCAAGTGGGTTACAGCCTAAAATAAAGAAGAAGGAGAGGGAAAAGGAAGGCCTGGGGGGGCGGGGGGGGGGGCAGCGACCTCAGGGTCACGAGTGGGGCGGGGGAGCCTGCCAGGCCCGCTGGCTCCCACTGCACTGCTTAGAGGCAGCTCGACTTGGAGATTTCTAAGCTTCGTTTTCCTTGTGAGGAAAATGGAGATAAAATAGTGCCCAGTTGAAATGGCCATTGTGAGTGTTACATACGCATGTAATGAACACAGCTCAATGCCTGACTCAAATGCTCAAAAATGTTAATGTGTTCGATTATTGTTAAAACAATAATAGGCATAGGAATTTGCATTCAGAAACGTCTTAAGTAATGCCCAACTGTCTCAAAAAGATTACCTGTTGTAATCTAAAACACAAACAGACAAAACTCCTAAATAATAGTGAAAAGTGCCAGTTCTCTCTCTCCCTCAATGTGCCAGGTATCGGCCTTGCCCTGGGGAAACAGTATCGAGCAGACGCCAGTGGTCCCTGTCCTCACAGGGCTTTCATCCAGTGGGAGGTACAGTCAAAGTCACACAACTGTCCAGTTACACACTGTGAAAAGTGCCACTAGGGGGAGACTGTGGGGTGGGAGGGCTTATAACAGGGCCTTGCATAACAGGGAGTTCAGGGGCATGATTATTGACTGGGGAAAGGCAGAAGGAGCAGCATATTCAAGGACCTGAGAGCAGACCAGTGTCCGAGTCCAGGGGATGGAGCAGACAAGTCAGGAGCAGGGGTCTAGTGGGAAGGAAGCCATGGACCGGCCTTCTCTGGTGTGAGGGCAGTGGTCCAACCTGAGGGTCCGCGGGTCCCTCTGGCCACGGAGTGAAGGAGGGTTTGGAGGGGTGAGAGCGGGACAGGCCACATGAGGAATTTCTCTCCAATCTTTCCTTTTTTTTTTTTTTATCTCTAACACATAATCAGAAGTCTTTCCAACTCCTGCGTCAGAGAATTCCTGCGGGACGGAAGGTGAAGCTGTTGGAAGCTCCTCCTCACTTTGAAAGGCTAAATCCAAAGGCAAATGAGTCCAGGTTATTCAAAGGGAGAGACTAGAGGGAAAGGTTTGAAAACAAGAAGAAAGGGGAAGAGATGTGTAGCCCACTCGCCAGCGGCTGCTGGGGAGCAGCAAAGCCTCACGGGAACCGTGAGGGACCCTCAGAGACTGGAACGGCCTACAGGTATGCGCTACCCGGGTACCGGGCTTGTGCCTGATGACTGGCACGTCCCCTGATGACGTGGCCCTGTGACCTGGCCACTGCACATCTCTGTGGGCACGGATGAGTTGCTGGAGTTCAGCTGAGGTTGATTAACAGGCATAAATAATGTTATGTTCTTACCCCAACTGTGGCAGCCGATTCATATCATAGCCACTAAAAATAGATGAAGGAGACCATTGCAGCAGGAGTAGATTGGGGGGTGGGGAGGGTAGACATGGAGAGAAATGGACCGACTGAAGAGATAAATAATTAGTACATGAAATCCATGGGACTTAGTGAGGTTTGGGATGCAGGAGTCAGGATTAAACTGGCCCAAAGTGGGCCCTGAGGTTTTGGACTTGGGCACGAGAAAGAATGGCAATGCCGTTTGTTGAGATACAGAAACTTGAAAGGGTCCAGTTTAGTGACAGGGGTCACAAATCTGGCTCTAACGCGTTGAATTTGAGGGGCTTCTGAGATGTCACGTAGATGCGCACGCCAGAGGGCAGAGACGCCAACGCGCGAGTCGGACGCCTAGTGCAGGAGCTGCACGCCCACCCCCTGCCCCCACCCCGGGTTGCGGGACAGATCATCGAGAGGAGGTGGCGGCAGGACTGAGCTTTAAGGACGCGGACAGCAAATGTTTTGCTCTTGCAGGGGAACGCGCCTGTGCGCGCCTACAATGGAAGCCCAGGGTAAGCGGCGGAAGGAACGAACAGGAGGAGGATGAGGAGCGCGTTCTCCACTGCGGTGATGGACAGGAGGGACCATGTGACCGGAGGTCAATTCTATTTATATTAATAACGTGAGATGGTAGTAACAGTTTGTGAACATCATTAACAATCTTTAAAATGTTTACTAAATTTAAAGATACTTCTAGGATTCTCCCACCATGAATAATAACTAAACTACAAGAATAATAACAATTAAAAATAATAATAGAAAAAAAATGTCCTTCACTAAAGTGGTAGACAGATAAATGCTGTAGGGAATAAAAGATATTTTGTTTATTTAGTGAATGATAACGGGAAGTAAAGTGACAGTGTTCCCTTGACAAATTCAGCGTTTATTTACGTGGCTCCTATTCACTAGTCACTGGTGATGGGGAGGTGACATATTCAAACCGTGACGTCGGCCATCTCGAAGGGTGGGGTGCCAGAGAGGCAGGGCCCTCAGCTTCAGAAAAAGGTAACCCCGCGAGAGGGGGGCCTGGACTTTTTCCAGGTGCCTCAGCACCTCCCAGGCCTGGGCTCTGAGACCGAGGCGTCCCACCCCCTGCGGCCAGTTCGAGCCCAGTTAAAAACGGGCAATGCTTCTCCTCATGGCGAAGCCAGTCCTGCTATAAACGCCTTGCTACCCTGCACCTAGGTCACTGGGCTCGGGAAGCAAATGGATCCTTCAAACAGACACTTAGATTTAGCTAAATGCATCATCTCCGAAGTAAGCAAGGGGCACTCCATTCAACTTTACTCTCGTCTAAAGAGGAGGAATGGAACAATTATCCAGATAGTTCCGCTCCTGAAGTAGACACTTGAGATTAGCGCTCACGCAGACGTCAGGACTGGTGGTGAGCATGGCACAGCTGCAGCCCCGAGACTCAAGGGAAAGAACACGGGTGCGGTGGGTGCTGCGGGGCTGCCAGCGGGGTTACACAGACCCGAGGACGGGGAGAGACTCTAGAGCCCCTGCGAAAAAGAACTCTCGGTCAGTGACTGGCGACATATACCTACCACTTTGTTTACCTTGACACGGTAGAAAGAGTCAAAAGTAACCTTAGGAAGATTTTTAAGGAAGGTACTGTTTACCGCTTCTCGGTCAAGAGCATCCTGGAACTCTTTCAGTCGTCTCTCCTCATACTGCTTCTCTCTGAAGATTCTGTTTTGCCATAAGACTTCCTTCTCGTGCCGCACGTGCATCAGCTGCACGGCGATCCTGCGCTCCTGCTGGGACTGCCGCATGAGCCGGTTGATCAGCTGCTCCTCCCGGTACGCCTCCTGTCAACACCGGTGGGGCAGACGGTTACTGTCCAGGCCCGTCCGAGTGGCCCGGGGGCTCAGACGCCTGCATGTGAGCAGTGTGTGACAGGCACAGACGTCATCGGCCTCAATTCCTAACATTTGATTCAAATTGGAACATGGCAGAGATCGAGTAAAAATGTAAGAAATTTCCAACAAAGGTTGTATACTTTTGATATCTAGAAGAGGCATAAGGGTTTTGCAACTTTCAATGATTTCCAATGAATTATTACCTCCTTTGAAATTTGATAAAGTAAATTATCAAAAAGTAAATTAGGCGATTGTTTTCAGAGTTTTATAAACAAGGGACAAAATTCTCTATCTATGAGCATGTTTATGGAAATGTGGACTTGTGCTACAAGTCCTCTCAGTGTCAATGCTCGTGTAAAACACACACAGATGCAGTCTGGCTGCCAGGGGCAGATCTGATTAGTTCCCAGTGGGGTCATTTCAATACCCGAGGAAAAGCAGAAATCTGCCAGAATGGGAAGTCGGGAGGAGAGGTGAAGGAGAAGTCACCTACTGCTTCTACGTGACAAGTTTAATGGCTGCGATGTGAAAGGGGAATGAGTTGCCTCCCCCCAGCTCCCTGTGAGAGAGTTCAAGGGCAAACAGCTAGTGAACAGTGGGAGACACGCTGAACTGGGACTCAGGGTCCCTGGCCTGTGCAGCCTCCTCAGTGTTACCCTTGACCAGCTGTGGGTCCCTGGGCGAAGGCCTCTTTCACTCGGGTAGAGCCAGGGGCTCAGGAGGGAGGTGAGGCCAGAGCCCCTTCAACCTCTCTCAGTCGTCTAAACAGAGACATCGTGTGGAGGGAGGAGGTAATTAAAGTTCTCAAGGGGGAGAATTTCGAAGCATACCCAAGAATTGGAGTTGTCCACTTAACACTCAAAACTCCCATGATTTAAAAAGAAAATCCGACATCACCAATGACACTGTTTCATGTCTCTCCCACTAGGAGACTGTGGGAGAAGTACTGTGTGTATTTTCAGAATCGAGATATAAATAACACACTCTGTGCTAAATGTCAAAACTTGAGCCTGGGAATTATATAAAAATGTAGATCAAGTGAAAATTCAGCTGAATGTAAATATGAATTTTCTTCTGTTGAGTAAATGTATCAGGTAAAAAAAATAAAACCGTGAACCACTTTGAAAGATAGGTCCCCTCCAGTTACAGAATTCTGGAAGCTCTAATGTTAACCAGTTGTTTCCTTTTGCCACCCAATGGCTCTGGTGAGCCCGACTGTGAAAATGGCCACAAGTTCTTCAGTTTCCTCCACCCACTGCTCTGCAATGTTATCCTGCAGATATTCCCATCAGAAAGTAAAATCTACTTCTCCGTTCCTTAAATATGGGGGTTTGCGGTGACTGTTGACTTGAACTGACCAATGGGACAATTGTGGCAAAAATGAATAAATAAATAAAACACAACAGAAACGTTGGCATCTGCCCTTCCTGCGACCCCTGCCACTGCCAGCACATTTTCGGGTCCACCTGGAAATACACCTGCCATACAGAGAGGTGCCAGTCTCCCCAGCTGGTCCTGGTGAATTCAGCCAGCCCCTGCCAACCCACCAGCTGCCCAAAGACGTCTACGCAGGGCCACCTGAGCCCCCAGCAAGAGGACAGTGCAGCTGGGCCAGCCCAAACTGCTGACCACAGAGGGGCATGGTTTGGGATTCAGAAGGCACAGTCACAACTGTATGTTTTAAAATATAACCCAGATTTATTATCCTTGCTAATGGGACCTGAAATTATAAAACAACTGAAAGAAAAATACAGGGGAAAAACTTCTTAATGTTGGTCTAGGCAATGGTTTTTTGGATATGACCTAAAAGCAGAGCAAAAAGTTTTTGCATAGCAAAGGAAACAATCAGTAGGGTGCAAACTATTGAATGGAAGAAAACATTTGCCAATTAAATGTTTTGGTTAATACCCAAAATATTCAAGGAACTCAAGCAACTCAACAGCAAAAAGAAAAACTAAATAACCCAATTTAAAAATGGGCAAAGGACCTGAGTAGACATTTCTCAAAAAAAGACAAATGGCCAACAGGTATACGAAAAGGTCTCAACATCGCTACTCATGAGAGAAATGAAAATCAGAGCCATAACAAGAGATTATCTCATCCCTGTTAGAATGGCTATTTTCAAGGAAAAAAAGAGAAATAACTAGTGTTGGCAAGAATGTGGAGACAAGAAAACTCTTGTAAAGTGCTGGTGAGGATATGACTTGGTAAAGCCAATATGGAAAACAGTGTTGCGCTTCCTCAAAGTATTTAAAATAAAACTACCACATGGCTCACAATCCCACTTCCGGGTATGTATATCCAAAGGAAATTAAATCAGTGTCTCAGAGAGACATCTGCACCCCTGTGTTCACCGCATCGTTACTCACAACATCCCTGATACGGAAACGACCTACCTGTCCGTCAGTGGGGGAAGAAGAGGTGAGGTGTGGCCTACCTACACAGTGGGGTGTCATGCAGCCTCAAAAAAGAAGGAAACCCACCATTAGCGACAACGTGGATGAACCTGGAGGACATCACGCTAAAGAAAATAAGCCAGACACACACAGAAAGACAAGTACCGCATAATCTCACTTACGTATGGAATTTAAAAGAGTTTAATTTTTAAAACTGGATTTTAAGTGTTTTCACCAAACACACAAAAATGGTAACTGTATGAAATAGTGGACGTGCTAATTAGTTTGATTATGGTAATCATTTATAATTTTATACATGTATAAGTGCATCGCATTATACACCTTAAATATATACAACTTATATTTGTCAATTATGCCTCAGTAAAACTGGGGAAAACATTCCTTTTTACTTCTAAAATTAACAACAGATTAGATTCCTCTTTTATCAGTATTTTTTTATTATGGTAAAATATATGAAACATAAAATTTACCATTTCAACCATTTTTTAAGTGTAAAATTCAGTGGCATTAAGAACACTCACAGTGTTGTACAACCATCAGCAGGATTTATATTCTTTAGAAAATGTTTTGTGTTGGGTTTTTTTGGAGTATACTTGCTATCATGATGTGTGGATGTCCCATTGACTTTTGAGTCAGAGTGGCAGATAATATGTGCATAAGGTACATATATATACATAGTGTGTGTATACATAATGTGTTTATACATAATGTGATTATAAAAGAGGGCATTTTGTAAAATTTCCGACACCATCACTGAACCAGCATCCAAGTATCTTACCTCTTGTGCCTCATGGGCTATTAACTGATCCATTAACAGCCTCCGCCGTCTTTTCTCCCTTTGTTCTCGGGCAAAAGCATCTTCTTCGAGGCGCTTTTGGATTTTTTTAATGTATTCATCATCCGAGTAAGTGTTGAGCAAATCGGCAGTTGTCTGGCCTGCTGTATCCAGAGAAGCCTTGGATGCACTAAGGACAATAGTTTTCATTTTAGATTCAAAAAAGAATGCAGTCACCGGCCACTACTTGAGACCGAGGGGAAGAACTCAGGAGGCGGCTCCCTTGAGTGCTCTGTGACTTTATTAATACAAGTATTCAAGGGAAAAACATTAAAACTTCAGGGTGACGCTCCTAGCTCGTCAGTGGATGCTATCGCCTCCCCCCTTTTCTGGACTCTATGTCTGTGAGGTCCTCCTCCTGCAGAGCCTTCTCTCTAGGCTCATCACCTCCCTGGACTTTTACTTCTCATGATCTTCACTCTACCCAGACGTTCTGGATTTTTCTCCCTCTTCTTCCTGCTGGCTCTAGGCCTCCTGTTCCCCCTGTTTAAGAGTCCTAAAACATCAATATCAAAGAACCTATGCACCACAATGTTCATAGCAGCACAATTTACAATAGCCAAGAGTTGGAAGCAACCTAGGTGCCCATCAGTAAATGAATGGATCCAAAAATTGTGGTACATATACACAATGGAATTCTATGCTGCAGAGAGAAAGAAGGAGCTACTACCCTTTGCAACAACATGGATGGAACTGGAAAGCATTATGCTGAGTGAAATAGGCCAGGTGCTGAAAGACAAATACCATATGATCTCACCTTTAACAGGAAGCTAAACAACAAAACAAACAAGTAAGCAGAAAAAAAAACAACCCCAAAAAACAAAGACACTGAAATAGAGAACAAGGGGATAGTGACCAGAGGGGAGAAGGAAGGGAAGTTAAGGGGAAAAAGGGGGAGGGATTTGGAGGAACAAATAGGAAGGACACAGGGACGAGAACTAAGGTGGGGGGGAGGAAATGGGAGGGAGGTGGGGAGCAAGGGGCAGGGGAGGCTGGGATGGGAAAAATAGACAAAAAACTGTACTTGAAAAATAACTAAATAAAATTAAAAAAAAAAAAAAAAAAAAAGAGTCAACAGTAGCACCACAGTGATAACCCGTCAGGAAAGGAGTCCCTCCACAAGGGCTGGTAGGTGTGCTAACGTCAGGACACATTCCTTCCATGACTGGTCCGTCTGCCACCACTTTATCACCCACGCACATGCAAGCTGCTCTGTGAACTCCCAACCACTACTGAACTGCAGGGGGCCTCAGCCCAGCTCTTCTTGAAAGTTGACTTGCTCATCATGCCACACTCAAGCACAGGTCAGACCTAGCTTCTTGCCCAAGTCCTGGAGACCCAAGATGAAAAGGCCTACCTTGGGGCTCTTGTCCTACCTCATGTCCAAAACTAAAGGGTCAGGAAGAGACAGGTACACTTTTACGTCTATAAGGATCAAATAATCAATTCTCATCCACATACCTCATTAAAAAATAAACAAGGTAATATATTAGTACAAGATATAGTGAGACTTGCCAAGAAATAGAGTTTTACAATTCGTTTAAAAATATAACAATTTTTTCAAAAGACAAGGGCGGGCTATTTTTGTATGTAAGAACTAAACACTCACCAGTTCTCATGTATAGAGAGAATGCTCTTATGAAAGCATGGTTAGCTCGTGTCTGGCGAGGCCGCAGTCACTTGGGTGTGGTACAGACCGCATTGCAGTGCATTATTTGTAGGTTTGGTGCAGCCTGCTGAACGATGAGCTCATAACCAAAATACTCTATTTTCCTCCTCTCTGTACTTGTGCCTCATATGCCTGACAGGTAGTGGATGGCTGTTACATGCTAAGAAGCACTACACAGTGTGGTGGATTTTTAAAATCACACACTAAAGTTGTGGTTATTTTATCAGCAGGGGCTCCACCTTCAGTTGGGTTCTGTCACTGGGAGTCGTTGAGCAGAGCAGCTAGCAACGTGTCAGTAATATCAAAGACTAAGTTTGCCCCTATTTATTTATGAAAATTTACTACAATTAAGTGCTTATGAAAATATTGTGGCACAGCTTTTTAAATCATTCATCAAAGTTCTTATTCTATTTTTACATAAATGTGCTATTTAAAAGATCTTTCTCTGGGTTGAGCATGGATTAATATAGCTCTTCCACACTGTATTTATGTTACCAGTAATACACCTGATGTGTTTCCCCTCCGTTATTTATCGGTCAGTCTGTTCATCTGTCCATCCATCTATCCGCCGTCTGATTGCAATAAAGGTCTGAACAAAGTCACATGATACTTTCTTGAGTGAATATTTATTTTACTAGGTGTGGATTTACTGAGGACAATAATTATGGTTTCTTTGTATCTGTCTGCTTGCCAGGCCTCTACAGAGTTAATCTGTGCTTACATTTTTGTAAATATAGAAAAAAAGCAGTTGCTAAGAAGAGCTAAAGGAAATGCAGGAACCCAAACGTCCATCTACAGCAGCCAGCAACCTCTGTTATAGAAACAGACAGCAGATAGCGTTTATTCTTTGTCTTTAAAAACAAAGGACTGGTACCTGTGGGGGAAAAGTAGCCACAGAACGCTTATGTTGTGTTGCTGCCGTTGAGACGTCATTGTGTTCCTCCACAAAAGAAAGAAGATGCACCTGGAGGTGACACCCCTGAGGAGTTGCCGCAGTAGCTGGCTGGAAGAGGCACAGCTCCAGAAGCTGCTCCTTAGGGTTACCCTATGGGAAGTTTTGCAACAAGCCCAGGACAGCTTGGCTCTAAGCAGAGAATTCAGAATGCACCACAGCCTTTGCTTTATTGAAAGTTTGCTCTAGACTAGTGCTTCCCAGCCTTTTTCATTATAGGGCCACCAGAGAAGATGCTCTTTGTGGGGCACACTGGAAGGACATTCCGTCTCTGAGGAGGGGCTGGTCACAGGGGATGGGACGGGTCCAGGGACTCTTGCTGCCCAGGCCCTATCTTGCCCCATGGGAAGTGAGCATGTTCCATTCCTGGTCCCCAGTCAGGAATCTCTAGCAAGGTCAAGAGGAGGCTTCTACAGGGAAAGGACTTGTGATAGATATGGCTGTTTCCCTCCCTTTTCTCTCCGAACAGAGCCCAAGTGTTATTCAGAAAAACAATGTACCGGGCTGAAAACTGCTTTTCCCAGCCTCCCATTCTGCTAGGTATGGTCAGGTGACTGAATTTGACCAGTAAGATGTAAGCAGAACAGTTTTGTGGGACTTCTGGGAGGGCTCCTAAAAGGAGTGAGATAGGATTGGAGATGGCTACTCCAACCTCCCTTCCTTCCTGGGGATCTTAGGCCCCGCGGCCAGGGCTCCAGCAGCCCGCTTGCGTGGGGACTGTGCTGCTCTGCCTGGTGTTACCTCTGGTTGCTGAACTTTGTGGAGCCTCAGGAAAGGGGCGGTCATGGAGCTACGGAGAAGGCCATTCCTCAAAAAGTAACAAAATATTTCAATATTTTAAGATGGTCATTCTGGTGGATAGCATCTGTTTATCATGTGGGAATGTGTGGTTGGCAGATGAGTGAGTGCTGAAAGGCAGCCAGTGGTTTCATGGGCCAGCGTCAGGCGGACGTGGTGGGGTTCAGGTGGTGGCTACCTGGGAGGGTGAGCTGGGACTGTGTGTTCTTCAGGAGTCAGAGGAAGAGCTGAAATACGGGAGTGGGGGTCAATCAGAACAGCGCAGGCAGTCCCTGCAGATGGCAGGAGGAAAGGTACCACGTGTATTCATTTTGCTTTATTTTCCTGCCACACCTGACTTCCTCCCCATTTCTTTTCCTAGCTTTGTCTAATTCCTCCTCATTTGACTCTATTTCCTTCTTTCAGAAATGCTGACATGGAAATGAAGTATATAATTTGTGTCTTTCTTCTTTAACAAAGATTTACTTCATAGTCTATAAATTGTAAATGAGTAGGGTTTGGTAGTTTCCATGTAAAAATGAAGAAAACCCAAAACAACAACAAAACTCAAGTTGCTCCTATTAGTGTAGTCCCTAATCAATTATTTTCCGTGAGACAATGACCCCTAATAGGATATCTTTATCTTTGGGCAAATCAGGCACTTTTTTGCAATGAACTCGTTGAACTGATTTAGTGACGAGTGATCAGCAAACTAATTCAACAGCTCCGTACTGAACCTCTGCACTGAATGCCAAGGGCACAACGTGGGAGAAACCAACTAGAGTCTAACAAAGGTTTTTCTGTGACAAATGTGAACTTGAAACAATTTGGGGAGCACGTCAAAGATGTGCGTGGACTTAGAGGAGGATGCGAGAACAGAAAGACAATTTAACTTTGCGTCATAACAGCCAGCCTCCCTCTTGAACTTTGTAAAATTGTTAACGAACAATGAATTAATCTGAACTTTAAGTCATTTATCTTCTTCCACAGGCTCTCCTTAATGAAGATTCTACAAAATGAAAAAAAATCTTTGGAACACTTATTCCAGGTAAACCATTTCTAAATATTCAAAACTTACAGTAGGAAAGAATGTAGTTTTGTGATCATTAAAATAGTTCATAGCCCACCTTTCTTTTGCTTGGAGATCCTTCTTTAGTAATTCTTCAAACTTCTTAATCTCTTTGGCCACATCCTTAAAACAAAGCTTATTATCAGTTTCCTGCCTCTAAAAATCATTGAAAATCTTCATTTACCATACTTATGCAAGTTTATAAGATGACATGCACTACTAATTCAAGATAATTAAGAGGTGAGATAAAAAGCTGTACTCCAACAATTTTTTATAATTCTGATCTGTTACTTCAACTCGAGGCTAAATATACCTAAAATATATGAAAATTGCCTAATCTGAATATTTATTTCACAATTTTAGCTCTGAAAGTACATCGAAGGTCATTTGATAAGAACAAAGATTATCATAGAGTAGGACATAATTTTTTGTTTAAAATTTTTGTTATAATTTTTAAAATGAGAATAAGCATTCTGGATATAAATATTTCTTTAAAAATCACTGTCTCAGGTATTTTAAACATTTCTCATGTAATCTTATTTACACTATTAATTTGCTCTCTGAAAATCATTTTAGTTTCTCCTCTGTTTACTGTACTTATTAATAAAATTTAATCAACTCTGGGATATAAAAGAATTATATACTTTACTGAAATGGGGTCAGAACAAAACCTCTGTGGGTAACATTTCTGAGAATCCAAGCACCGGACTTTTTAATATGAAAAATAAATGGAGATAAATATAAAATACAGTGACTTTAGAGATCAGAGAGACCTGTCAATCTGTACTTTATCAGCACCTCGAACTTGGGTAAAAGGTGACAGCTTTCTGAGTTTCGGTTTCCTTCTACACACAATGGGCAAAACAACACCCTAGCGAGAGAGTCATTTATACAATAACCAAAGAGAATGTGAGGTGCCCAATCCATAGCCTGACATGTAGCAGATGCTGGATAAACGGCAGCTATTAATCTTTTCCTTAGGCCACGGGAGAGAGTGTCGTTGCCATCATTGTGGTGGTAGGTGGGGTAGACTGCAGGAACTTGTATGAAAATGTGTAGTATTGCTCCCCTGTGAAACAGGGGTGGATTGTGTCCTTGGAATGATTGACAGTTGGTACAGTCTAGCAAAATATCACTTATGTAGGTAACTTAAATTTAAACACACTGATCACAGGCAAATCATTTAACATTTCTAGGTTCACAGAAAAACAGTGCCTCGTGGTGAGGAGAAATTGAGTAAAAACATATAGTTGGAATGCACATGTGTACGCGAACCTCAGCTGAGCTCTGGTGCACTCATGGGAGTCGTTATGACAGCGCCCGCTCTGACCTGCCGTGTTGGTGACCACAGAATCCCCAGCACAGGAGGCCAGATGGGCACTGTCTCTTAATAGGGGTCTGTCATCCCTTGTCTGAAGCTACATTCTCTGTTTCTGAGCAAACAGTGGTGTAAAATGGACTGAGGGTGCGAACAGGGGAAGCCCTTCAATGAGAAGGAGCAATGCCAGAGTTCATGTGAAAAGGAAATAAGTAGTTTGGGGAATTCTACATGTTTCAGGGAAAGATCCGTTCTTTTATTAAGATAAATGCACTCCCCAGCTGGTGTGGCTCAGTGGATTGAGTGCTGAGTGGACTGCAAACAAATGGGTGGCTGGTTCGATTCCCAGTCAGGGCACTTGCCTGGGTGGCAGGCCAGGTCCCCAGCGAGGGGCATGCGAGAGGCAGCCGCACATCGATGTCTCTCTCCCTCTCTTTCCCCCTCCCTTGCCCTCTGTCTAAAATAAGTAAATAAAATCTTAAAAAGAAAAGAAAAGATAAATGCAGGCAATTTGAAAGGACTCTCACTTACCTCTGTTTCTTTTTTCTTCTTCATCATTTTTTGGGCCTCAAGAGCTTTCAGAGTGCGGTTCGAGGCGGGTTTAGGGATCTGTATGATGGCCGCCTGGATTCTGGCCATTATTTCATTTTGCCGTCTTCTGCTCAGCCGTGGCTGAATATCCCATAAAGATTAGATTAGTGATTCAGTTCATCAGAATGTTGCATACTCACAGGTACACGTATATATAATTTTTCCATTGACATTTTCAGAACTCATCAATTAACCAATGGACTAGGTGTCACAACTGTATAGTGTGACAAATAGGTGTCAACATGACTCAGTTTGGACAGTATGATATGAAGACACCGTTTGGAGTCCCCAAACTATGCTAATCAAATGTGTGCCTCTCCATTCTGGGGGCTGAGACTAAAAGAAATGTGAAGGTGTTCCAATCACTAAGAAGAGTGCCACTCTTTCCCAGCCACGCCTTCATGACCTGCCTGATAACGGGAAAAAGCACAGGAAGTGGAGAGAATTGTCTACTAGGAAGTCATACCAATTTATCAAAACATGTTTAATGAGTATTTGCAGCGTTCAAAGCATGGCACTGGACATATGCCTTGAATGTGAGGAACTAAAACCTCGCAAGACCACTAGCCACTCGAGTATTGAAGATTAACAGTGGCATCAGTGCAGGAGGTGAACACTGAAGACTGAGAACAACCTGTGCCCAGGGAGGCCATGTGTGGGGCCCACGTGTCCTGGGAAGGTTGCAGAGAAGCAGATGGGGAAAAGCTGGGGGGACAAGGAGAGACGAGAAGGATGAGCTTGGCCGGGAGAGGAAAGGGTGAGAATATACACGTCCCATTCAAGGGCAGGCTTCCAAACAACGTAGAAGAGAGACTTTATGTGAAGGACCAAGAAGAAATAAAGTTAGCAAGGCAGGGTGAGAACATTGAGTGAAAGCTGCTGAACATCAGTGTGACTTGGGAGACAGGGTGTATGTCAGATAGAAGGCTTCTAATCAGAAGAAGAACCTAGTGAGAGTGGAGTTTAGGGAAGATTCGACTAGTGCAAAGGCTGAAGCTCAGGAGACAAGTTAGTACATGATAAGGAGATCTGAGCAGATAGGATAGGGGTCTGATTGGAAAGAGAGAAGCTGGCCCTGGAAATTAGGAACAAACAGAATTTGTTAAGCTGTTAGAAATGTGGAGAGCATGCAGGCAGACATCAAAAATGGATAAATGCCTTGGAAATAATGACATGAATAAAACCCAAGTATGGCTGATAACACACATAAGGGACTCATTTACCCCGTGGGGCTCCTCTGAGAACACGGCATCACTGTAGTTGCTCTCTACCAAGTTTTACATGGTGACACGCCGATGTTTCTTTATATACTTACATCCCCCAAAGCCTCGCTTTTCACGTTCTGAAGCCTCGTGTTGGGCAGGGGTTGTTGCATGGTGTGCATTTCCACCCAGGTCAGTCCACTCTTCTTCTTCTTCTGCAGGGCAGTGTATAACTCGTACACAAGTTTTGTCGCGGCCCCAGGCTTCTCTGTAATAATGTTGTTCGCCACCTTCTGGTCAAACTGCACACCCAGAAGGTGAAGTGTTGGCTCCAAGCGAGAAAAATTACTAAGTTTGGCACTCGAAACCCTAGGCATTGAAATATTTACATATTTAGACATCAGCTACTACCATGATCCAACGGTCTGAATTAGCCCATGGCACCATGTTTTAAAAAAAACATATCCTTCCTCTCTAAAACCATTCAATCACATAAACACATGAAGCTTTTCTATTGTCCTTAATGGTATGCATTTATTTCTTTTGAATGAGTAAATTAAAACTCATTCATTGTATACACTTTCCTACTAAAATAGATGCTAGAATTTCTACCAGAAGTCAGTACAAAACCAGATAATGAGGTTCCTACTTCTAAATAGAAAAATTTAACAGTGGTTTTGAAAGACTTTATTCAGAAGTCATAACTGCACACTGAATGTCCACTGCACTCAGTGACACTGTCACTGGTGTCTGAGAATAGCCCTGAGCATGGCGCCGACACCCGAACCGTGGGCTTCTCGTGCGTCGCCCAAGCATTTGACTAAGGAACATCACTACTCAATCAAATTGGCTGTGTAATCTTCACTTAGCAGCTTATATAACTACTTTAAGAATCAATAGAAGCTTTCTAATTATAAGTTATATCCATTTTTGAATTACCTATTATCAAATTAGGCTCACATTTTAGAAGAAATTCATGATATCATTTATTAACTTACTCTGTCAACTAATATTTATCAAATACCCATTACATACAAAGAATTTACTTATAAAATTTATCATGAAAATAACATGTAAATAATTATAAATAAATTTACAAATGTATTAAATTTTAACAAAGGTTAATAACAGGCAGTGCCTGCCCTGGATGAGCAAACAAATAGTGATAAATCGAGGTACATGTTGTAACAGAAGTCTGAAAATGATACAGGCCTATTAACGTTTCTATGGATCCAGTGTTAGAAGAAATAAAGCAAAAGATGTCGGAAGCATTGTCAGCTCTTGTGTCTGTATATGATCCACCTGGATATAAATAATCAATTTTAAACACTGGCCTATTTTCTTTTTACTTTAACTCCCAAACACTCAGTAATGTTCCTTAATAGAAAAAATATATACCAAATATATCTGAATATAAGTTAATGTCCTAACTTTCTTCCCCAAATAAAACCTTAGAACAGAGGGAGCTGCCATGCCTCTGGCATAATTTCTAATATAATAGGGTTACTCACTCAATAACTTCATCTTGGACTATAAAATCGTTTGGGGGAAGATACTGTAAAACCTTCAACAATTTCAATTAAATTATTAGAAGCATAATGAGATCATTTAACACTTAAACTTTAGATACTGTTGTTGGCATACTGTTATCTTAAGAGATTCCTCTCAAATAGAGGTTCTAAACATTTTTTAAAAATCACCTATATCATTGAAAATCTGATGAGACCTATAGAATATTTTCCACACAAATACTCAAAATGTGCATACCATTTTTGGGTGTTTTTGAATCTCTTAAAATCTAGCCAAAAGTGCCCATTAAGTGCAAGTTAAAAATGTACCTCTAACAAGAGACGGGGCTGGGGAAATAGACAACAACGATTTCCAAACACGAGTAAGGAGCTGTTACCATGGCAGGGCCAACATCAGCAGAGACAGTGACACATACCTTGAATTTCTTTTCCAGTTGTGTAACTTACAGTCATATTTCCTCCACTTACTATTACTCCTTTAACAGAAATATTAGGATAGCATGCTGCATCGACCAAACTTTGAATATAATATTTTAAATTAATAAGAGAGTAACAGATCTTAGAGAAGATGAGAAGCTATAATGAGAAGATATAAGGAAAGCTTAACAACAAGAGCAGGCATTTTTCTCAGGTGCATGTTTGCAATGCGATTCCCCCACCAACGACCTTAGAGGGTGAGGTGACAGACATTCATCTAAAACGCCTGGGGTAAAGCAGACCGTATTTTAAAGAGTACAGCTGGGAGTGAGGACGGTCGGATCAATGACTTGTGGTTATATTTCTTGGACAGGTACCTTCTGCTCCTTTTCATCTTCCTTCACAGTAAAGCTGGCAGGTCCTTCCAACCCAGGAGTCCATTACCTGCACTTGGGAAGATGTGGCCTGAGAGCCACTTGTCAGAGCTCTGACCTGGGTCGTAACCACAGGCAGCAGAGGTTAAGAGCAACATAAGTCAGGAGGGAGAATCCAAAAACAAACACTGCTCATTTCCCAATTTCATCAAAGCACAGCCCTGCACCCAGTGAAAGTGGCAGATGACGTGGCCAGCAGAGCATACTGGAAGCCTGCTGAAAGCATGACTCAGTCACATATGAGGCTTTAAAATACCTCTACAGACAGGCCGAAGCATCCAGGTCTAACAGTACTTTTCTCTGGAAGTTTTTTAATACATATTCCAAATTTCCAACCAATCAAAACGTGAGGAATATTACTGGCGCGTGAATTGCTGGAAGTCCAGTCTTGTTACAGCGTATGCTCACCCAGTGTGACATGGTCACCAACAGTTGTTTGTGAACACAGAGAAACCACAGGGACATCTTTGCCCTGGAGACATGGCACATGACGTCAGTGATGACTCTGAGGAATAAGAAATGTACTCTGGGAAAAGTCTTCTCCCTCCCCACCAGCAAAGGTCTAATTTGCCCAGGGATCACCTGTCTCCTCTCCTCCTTGCTCCCTGGAGAGGGAATGTGCTTTCCAAAGTAAACAGAAGCTGCCCTCCCCAAGATATCTACGCTTCTTTACTTTACTTTTCATCCTTTTAACTAATCCGCTCACTTTCCACCCTTTGAGATGGACTAAAAATATTCTAAAACAGAGAATTCTTTCAGTTAGATGAGTTATTCTTAGGATTCACTAATTTCCAAGACAAGTAACTAAGTTGTTAGCAATATACACTTAGTTTATTGTTTACATTTTAGACTAAAGAAACTAAAATGTTAGACAAAATCTCCAAATCATGAGCTCTGGCTCTAGACAGATGCCTAAAAAAATAGGTTTTAACAAAGAAGAATTCTTTCCTCACCAAATACAATATTACAAAGACCATGTTCACGGACATACTGGTCTTCGCCCTCTTTAGAAGACTGCTTGAAAGTGGGTTGTTCCAAAAACTAACGATGGATCGTATTTGGTTGTCAGGGTTAGTAGGTGCCCCTCCCCACGTTTGGCATTGCGATGACTCCCAGTGGGCCAGAACATCAGTCCTCTGCGGTGGGGAAAGCAGGAGTGTCACACATGATGATAAGCAGGGTACACGCCTGTCCAAGGGCCGAGCAAAGCTGTGCAAGCTGCCCTGTGCTCAGTTTGCCAAGCCCTGTCCCTGGCACAGGCCTGCTTCATCCACCCCTGTTCTCTGCACAGATGCCTTCTGTTCACAAACACCTGTGCCTTCACAGCTGTGCCCACATGGGTAGGGTCCTTTTTACCACTCGCACAAAGGCCCCCTACGACCCTGCTAACAAGAGCCAGTTCAGTCCACCTGAGATACTGCATGTGTGATATGGTCAGTATGGTCCCTTAAGTTTTCTATGGCTAAACAGATACCCTTTCTGCATCATTCATTCATCCACCGAGAAATATCGGTGTGCGTCTGCTGTGGGCTGGGGACAGCGCTGGGTACACGAAGAATAAACACACTTTGCAACTTTCAGCAACTCTGCAGTCCAGTTGAGAAGAAAACACCTATATATTCATTCCTGAGCCATTGTTTGGGCACCTTCATGTGGCTGGCACCTGGCAAAGAACTGACGTATAAATAAATAATTCACTTAATGTGACAAGGAAAGGGTCATCCAAAGTGTTATCAGAACAGACAAAAAGGTCACTAAATCTTCTGGGGAAGTCAAAGAAGACTTTAGAGAAAGGGTGAACTTCCAGTTAGTCTTAAGAATGAATAAAGTTTCTTGTGTTGGAAGGAAGAATATTACTGTACAAAGGTCCGAGGCATAACAAACACAGGTGGCGTGTTTGCGGACCAGAGCAGCTTAGCTCAGGGGTCCAGGCAGGTGGGAAATGCAGCTGACAAGGTGGGTGAGGGTCGCACCAGGCAGCACCTTACAAGACACACCCAGGGAAAGAGAAATGGGAACGTCTCAAGTTCTTTAAGCTGATGGGAATAGAGTTTTTTCTTCTTGCTGAGAAAGTTTACGCAGGGTTTCAATGTGTAGGATTTTCCAGGCTAGGGAGTCATTCATTAAGTCAAAAACATTTCCTGGAAGCCAAATATGTCTCTGATAGCCTTAGAGAGGCAAAGAAAAACAGCTCAATACCTCTCACTTCAAGGTGTTCGAATGTGCAACGTGAAATGTGAGACTCAAGTAAAGGAAGTGACAGCAAAGAGATTAGTATTAGAAGAAGGAAATGTGTAGGATAAGTTTATAACTTCCATGAAAGGGAAATAAACAATGACAATGAGGGACTGGAAATCTGCTCACACACAGGTCGTGACGAATTAGCCTGGGCACGTGAGAACTCCTGAGACAGCAAACAGGGAAAGAGCGGCAGGGGCACTGTCTGCCTCCCTGCCCCACCACCTGAAACCTCAGAGGTCGGCCTGGCTTCTGAGAAAGGGAAGGCCGTGCAGGAGGGAGCAGAGGGGGCCAAGTGCTGGAGCGCAGGCAGGGAAGGCAGTTGGGGCCAGACTGTGAGGCCTAACACCTCAGTGTACCCCTCACCCTTGGGCAAGAGGTGTGAGACATGGGGGAAGGGTGTGCGTTAGAACATTCCTCAGTGCCATGGAGACTTGCAAACTTATCTGCGGTGAACATGTATTTCCAATCCATGACTTCTCTTGTGTCCTACTATTATTAGCTATAAAACCTGCAAATCTGAATTGTGGAAGAATCGCTCCCCTCTAGAGTGGAAGTATCAGATTTTTTTGCCCAGAAGACTTACACCACAGGTGCTACTCAGCAGAGACCTACTATGGCAGACAGCCAACAACTGGAGCGTCTTAGTGGGAACTATCGGGACTGCACATGATGGACTCAGAGTCGGCCTTCAGGAAGGGGAGAGTGAGGGCTTGTGAAAATCCATTCCTCTAGGAAGGTAATAAGAAAACTGCCAAAAATTATAAAAATCAACCTTTTCACAACTCTAGAAATTAGTCAAAAACATGTAACAATTCAAGGAGCATTTATCTGACTACAAGACATCTCACTAAGCAGAGAGCTTGCAGCCATGTTAGCGGGCCCCATTTCCATCCCCCCCTGCCCAGCCCCAGGGCAGCCCCAAAGCCCAGCGGCCTTGCAACAGCAGGTGCCGTCAAAACCAGCAGTCCTCTGAGAGGCAGACGGATTTAAGGCTCCTCAAAAATGTTTTAAAAATGCTAAAAAAAACTTTACAATCCAGCAATCTAGCTTCTTGGTATTTCCCGAAAGAGTTGAAAACTCACGTTCACACAAAAACCTGCCCATGGGTGTCTCCAGCAGTTTTATTCATAATTGCCTAAACTTGGAAGCAGCCTTGATGCCCATCACTAGGTGAACAGCCAAGGAAACTGTGGTACGGCCAGACCATGGAAGATTATTCATCACTGAGAAGAAATAAGCTATCAAGCCATGAAAAAATGTGAAGGAAGTTTAAATACATATTACTCCTTGAAAGAAACCAAGCTCAAAAGGCCTCATACTGTATGATTCCAAGTATACGACATTTTAGAAAAGGCAAAAATATGGAAACAGGAAAAAGATGGTTGCCGAGTGCTGAGGTGAGAGAGGGGTGAGTAGGCAGAGCCCAGAGGATTTGGGGTAGTGACAATACTTTGTATGATACTATAATGGTGGACTCATGTCATTACACATTTGTCCAAACCCACTGGGATTGCCAAAATAAAGGCAATAAGCCATTGTTCACGAAGACATGGGGGAATTCCAAACTTCATACACTGCTAGTGTGAATGTAAATGGATCGGGCACTTTGCAAAAACGGTTTGGCTGTTTCTTAAAATGTAAACTTAGACCATAAAACCCAGCAATTTCACTCCAAGTATATACCCAAGAGAAATGAAAACATTTCCATGTAAAAAACACAATATTTTATAGCAGCATTATTCATAATAACCAAAAACTGAAAATAACTCATATCCATCAATTGATGAATTCATACACAAAGTGGGGTATATCCAATCATAACTATGCAGCAAATAAACAGAAATGAAGCAGTACTTATACATGGGACAACACAGATGAACCCTGAAAACACCCTAAGTGGAAGAAGCCAGTCACACAACGCCACATCTCGTTTGAGTCCATTACTACACAATGTACAGCGGCTGGAAACAGATGTGTGGGCACCAGAGGCTGGGAGTTTAGACAGTGGCGATGGCTGTGAATATAAAAATATACTTACAACCACCAAACTGCATGCTTTCAATGGTGAATTGTGATATGTGAATTATATCTCAATATAGTTGCTAAAACCAAAAAATATTATGAATTTGTTTTACTATTAATTATGTTCTATTTTATATTTGTGACACACACACACACACATAAAACACCAAGTGACCAGGACACCATAGCTCTTTGGTTTCTTCTCTCAAAGAAAGTAGAACCATTTAACTACAGAATAACTAATCTAGCCTAAAACTGCGGAAATTGGAAGATATTAAAATGGGTCTCTTTTAAAGATGAGGTCTTGCTGCAACCTGGGACAATGACACATGTGTCACGAGGAAGTGACAATTTCCATTCCAAAGGTGTTCTTGGCTGGTTTAGGCTTTAAAGGGCATGTTGAGATTAGGGATTCTTAAAAGTTAATACTGAAAGCTAAACCCGTTGAAGTGCCAGAGAAATTGACCTTTTTTAAAAAGTAAGAAACAACCTCACTAACCTGGTGTCTGAAAATTCTGAAAAGTCATTCTGAAGTTCAAATTTGTGCAGAACTTCTCCAATTAGGTAGCCACTGGAAAATGCCTTTGCAAAGGACTTGGGATCTGAATTTTAAACACAGAGATTTAAAAGTAAATAGGCCGTACATAGAGTTTATACATTTTCGTTACACACTCATAGAGTAAAACTCCATAATTTAACCTGAACTCAAAAATTCCATAACAATGCTTCTAGAAATATTTTAAATAACCAAACTGAAGTGGAACAGTAGAAGTCTTCTCAAAAGTCATGCATAAATATATATCAGTACTTAATGATGTGAAATTTTGAAAGAAAAGACAACTTCTGATCAAATTAACACACAACCAATACAATTTATAATCTCATATATAAATGGAAACCTTCATTATATTTTATAAAATTACCCCGTAATGCCTTAGTTATTAATACAACCTGTGGGTATGCTGGCAGAGTATTCTGGCCAAGTTAGATGCAATCTAACTTTTTAAAACAATAATTAAGACTTAATTTTAACCTTTTTACAATGGAAATTTTATGAAAATCATCTGCACCTTCTAAAATAAAGCCTAGCAAAAATAGTTAAGCTTTTCCTTGGTATTCAGGGGATTACTCTGGTCCAGTTGTTCTGTGCAGTGATGGAGAGGCACTGAGGGAAATAGGCTTTGGAGCCAGAGATATCTGTGTTGAAATCTTGACTTTGCCCCTTAGTAGCTGTGTATATTTCCTTAGTGTCTTATCTCTAGAACAAACAGAGCCCATCTATGCCTATCTTGAAGAGCTATTTTAAAGATTAAAGGTGCTGTAGGAGAATTGCTTAGTGCGGAGCCTACCACATACCACGTGATGATAAGGGCAGAAAAAAAGAAAATGAAGTGTTAAACAGAATTTGCTTTTTTAAAACAAGTCCTTAGTTTGGGGTCACCTGTATTTTTTTTATGAAGTGAAGGATATAGGGTTGCATGGTATTCAAAGATGATATTTAAGCCATTCTCTCGAAGGATTTTGAAATCCTGCAGAACTCTTCAACAGGTTTCAGGGAGGGTCTTTTAAGCAACAGCAGTCAAAACACTGCACTACCTATCACTGCAGTGTCACAAGCTCATTGGGCCCAGATTGGCCTCTGTTATTTGACTGATAATAAGGCAGCCGGCTGTAGGTGAAGAGATGCTGATTTGCAGACCTGATGCTGGGTGTGTGGTTGCAGCAGGGTGGAGTGAGTTTTTCCATAAAGGCCACTGCAGAGACCTCACTCAGAAGACAACACACTATCATAGGAATCAGATTCTTGCATATCTGACATCAGCCCACAATTTTGCCCAAAGTTTTCCTAATTTTTGTGCTCAAAATATTTTATGCTCTTAATAACACCCTTATACTTAGGTGAATCAGTATATAATGAAGCAGTTTAAAAATGGTATTAAGTATTCCCACTGATCTCATTTGCTCAGGATGAGCTCCTGAACTGTCGAGCATTAGAATCTATTGACCGTGTCTTCTGGCATCTATAAAAGTAGTTGTCTTTGGAGCAAATGAAATCTAAATGGCTGCTTCTGCCTCCAAAGGATGAGATGTGCCACCTCCTCCTTTTGAGTCATTGATGCTTTCTCCTGCCCTCAGAGACCTGCCATCACTGGCCACCAATCGTGTTCCCTGATCTCAGCCGCTACCACTGTCCTACTGTGCCATCTGGGCTGCTCTGGATGTGCCTTGCTTCTCTTCCGTCTGTTGCTTTCTTCTCTCTGCTTTCATCCTTCTCTCTTCCCTGGTCCATCCGCATTCTCCTCTTAGTTTTCTGAAGAGCCACTGGACAAAGAGACTATGGACTCCTACGAATAATGTAATGACTACAGCTTTGCACTCAGGAAGCCATGATGCGCCCAGAACTCAGATGGTCTCATTCCTCTGCCCCCTCCCTCAGGATTTTGCCCTAGGCCTGTTGTTCATGTGGACTGAATGCCTAAAGTCTAGCTCATGAGTAACTGGGAAATAATTGCATTCAATTCCATTACTCTCAGTGTAGCAGGTGAACAGACAATAACCAACTGTTTGCTGCAAAAAGGTCACTAGAAAAATAAAACCATAATCCACTTCCTTTGAATCAGCATGTGATATTAATAAGGCAATTCTAATACAGATAAAATGGAGGCATTTATGAATATAAAGGTCAAAGAAGAAGAATAAACACTTATTATTTCATCGTCAAGGAGTTTACTACAAATAACCAAGTATGAAAACATCTATCTGCAGTTTTGTGTGCACAGGACACTTCAGATTTACTGTGTGCTCCCCAGACTGAAAAGAGAACAGTGTGTGAAAAACTACAGCAAATGACAAAAGCAACAAGGGGAAAATATGTGCAAGAAATAAAGAAGAGAGAAAAATGCATGCAAGAAATTAGAGAAGAAAAAATATAACACACACACATGTATATATAACAGATAAGAAGCCAGAGAGAGAAAGAAAGAGGGGCTGCTGGAGAGAAATGGTAAGGAAAAAAAGAAAAGCAAAGGAAAGTTTATTTTTGCCCCTTTGGTTTGTTTTCTTCCCACTAAATATTCCTGAATACCACAACTTAATTTCATGACAGCCCCCTCTAGAAGTTAATTCGCACTAACAGTCGGAATTCCCTAAGAGAAGGAAGAGGTGGTTGACTCTAGAACAAGGAGCAGCATGAGAAATGAACAGACCACGGGAGCCCAGGAACGAGCTCCATGCTGAGCACCGACATGATTTACCCCCAGATTAGGTTGGTCGGCCACAACTCAGCGTTGCCTCCCATCTTCCAAGCCGCAGGACCGATCCCCACCACTAAAGTTCCTCTTGCTGAAATCGTCGATGTGGCCTTTGTGAAAGGTCTGTCTTAGGCAGGGACAGCGGGTGAAATGGTCCATGAGCTTCTTCATCCAACTGGTCCTGAGGCAGTTGGAGAAGGCACTTGAAGGAGGGAGGCCTTCTGTGTTGCTAAGTGGCAAAAAGGAGAGCATGGGCTCTGGGGAGACGTTTTCTGGGTTGGCGCGGCTCCTTGCTCATTTAGAAGCCACTGGGCTTTGGACAGTGGTGGTCACCTCAGCTGCTCATCTTTAAGAGAGGGGAAGCAATGGGCTCTACTTCATGAGAGTTGCTTTGAGATATTGTATGTAAAGTGCTTAGCCTTCCTGGCATATAGTAAGTGCTCATTGAAATTGTTATTATTAATGTCTCCTCATTTAGGGTAACAGGCTTCATTAATTAGACAATTCATAAGCTCAATAATAGATCCTCAGTATATTTGGACTCATGGACTCAGTACATTTAAATGACTATAATATATTTTTTTAAATCCTCACCAGAGGACATCTTTTCATCACTATATAGAAACAGAGGAAGAGAGAGACAAAAACATGGATGTGAGAAAGAGACATCAACTGGGTACCTCCCGTGTGTGCTCTGGCCAAGGATCCAACCCGCCTCCTTGGTATGTGCCCTCGCCAAGAATTGAACCCCGAACTTCTCAGTGTATGGGACGATGCTCCGACCAGCTGAGCCACACTGGCCAGGGGTTGCAAACATTTTCATTTAAAAGGTAACTCAAATTTCAGAGAGCAAATATTTGAGATTGTTCTTAAATTCAGATACAGGCTCACATTTAGGGCCAGAAAAGCTATAACACTCCCACCACACACATGTGCAATCAAATGCAGTTGATTTCTCCATAAAACATCTCAGTGGGAGAAGGAAAAAATAAACGTAGCATCACAGTATTCCTGGTCAAATGTTTTGACTAAATGAGTAAAGAGATATTTGGATTTTGGGGTGGTAGATAGAAGTCTTTAGACCTATATCTTCTATGCTCTGTGGCCTTGACTCCTCCCAGAGAAGAGCAAAGATCTAGCCTGCGATATCAACCATACTTAAAAAGCCAAGCAAATTGACCTTCATTCAACAGGGAGAAGAGCAGCTGCTGAAGGCTGGGACCAGCCTGGCCCCAGCAGGCCTTGGTGTTCCCAGCTTGACCTTGGCCTTCTCCTGCTGAACCTAATCTATTTCACAGTACACCAGCACTGGACAAAGCCACTTTGAGACCCTGATGGATTAACACAAAAACAAAATCCCTCTGTAATCATATTTGTACTCAGACAAAAAACAATATCGTCCAAAACACTGAAAGACCAATCAATGTCCACTAATCCGACCATTATGAGCGGTTGCTACTTTTTTACTAATCGTGGTTCTGCCATGCTTTATTCTCTCCACTTCCTGGAGAAGACACTTGATCACAGACATGACTATGCTTCTGAGAGTACCCAACACTGAGCCAAGCAGCGCTTCCTTCAACCCTCCTCATAAACACCTAACACAAGACCAAACGTTATACATCCTTTCTAACACCCTCTTACTGAGATGCCCCACGGGTCCCCATGAAATGTGTTCTCTTCTTTTGGCAACAAGTCAGTAAACCCCACTTTGCTCAACTACAGGTTTGCACTGTGGTCTTCAGGTAGAGGACTCTGACAGTTTCTTTTCCTCCAGTATGATAATCCGACCAGCCATCTTCTCCTTTGAAGACTTTATCATGGGTCTCAAGATCTACTGTTTGAAACAAAATCTCCAGCTTATTATGACCTTCTTTAATGGTTTGGATTTTGGGTGTTATTCTTTCCTTGAAACTTCAAATCTTAAAATTTTGACATTGAGTTACACAACAGCCTTGTGTTAATAGATTTGCTGTGTTGATTTCTTATCAAAGGAAGCCAAGTTTTAATCAAGGGAAATGCTGCTGAGCTAACCAGAAAATATAAAAATATGCTGTATTATACAAGAAGCAATGTATTTCCTAGTGACCCTGAGGGATGAAGCATGAGAAAAATGTGTGGTTAATGACACCAGATTAAAAGAGGAGTGAATTAAAAGTCAGAAGTCTCTGAATCTACTGCTAACTTGCCACTACCTAGCTGAAGAACCCTAAACAAATCTCTAAACATCTTATTTAATGACTTCACATGCCAAGAAAGAATTAAACAATGTCTAAGCCTCTTTCTGATGCTAAAGATTCTTTTTGATTCTAAAATTCTATGACACTATGATTGGTAATGTCATCATAAGCTAATAAAAGGTTACCACAATATATTATAAAGTGTATATAAATAAATACTCAATAGGATATTTTGAAATCTCTTTACAAAAATAAAATTTGATACTTTTGAAAAGGTTTTGACATAGACCTAATCAATAAAGTACAGTTAGTATACAAGGGGACCCAAATAAAGAATGCCCTTGAATCCTGGGACAAATATCACCCTGTAAAACAAAAGTTACTGAAACTTAATATAAAAGAACCAAATTAGCCAGCTATGAAGACCCGCTTATACAAAAAGAAATTAACAAGGAGCATAACATATATCTTAAAATTCAACTTTTCTATTTAATTGTTTTGAATATCATATAAATTATAATCTTTGGAAATATTAACTTTATTCAGAGTAGAGATTTGCCGTAATGGAAGAATACACAAATATTGCAATTGCAAAAACCTCTGTAGTAGTAGTGACACTGGAAAATAACAGTGAACAGGTCTACTCATCCACTGATGGAAAAGGAGGAGGAAGAAGGAATCTGACTCTAATAGAATCTAGTCGAATTTAACCTAATAGAGTCTCATCTAATCTAATCTAACCTGTCACAGCCTGCAGAAACATTATCTCTAGAGAAGATAGGTAAGACAAATCAAATATTAGATTAATTTGAGAGTTCTCTTGATAATATCTAACTTCTCATTTTCAGTGAGCAGTCTAATCCATAAATGTAGTCTTCTGGATACTAGCACATTAAGACGGTGCATGGTGTTCAATGGCCAGAATAGGTTACCTTGCTATCCTTTCCTCCTGATAAATGGGTACCCTGATTTATAAAAGCAGAAACATGTAACTTCAGTTAGTAGGAAGCAATTTCTAAGAGCTTGATGAAAGTAATAAAAACAGCTCCAGAAATCACAAAGCGGCGGATCAAAGAACCCAGAGGGACATTTTCAAGATGAACAAACCCATAACGTTCCTCCTGAAACCTCCTCTCAGACTTTCAGGTAATAAACAATTAATTACTAAATGCCTATTATGTGACAAGCACTATACCAAGCATTATTCTAAAGTGAGAGACAGAAGAATAGTTGAAATAATATATTTGTTTAGTATCTTGATGTAATAGATGTTAAGAACTGTGGTAGGTAATTTTCATTTGCAACCTCATTTAATATTCCCCCAAGTAGATAGCAATTCTTATTCTTACTTTTCAGGGTATAAAATTGGGACCTAGAGGTTATTATTTCTACTTTGGATACTGCAAAACTGTCAACATAGCCACACCCAGAATCTTAAAGAACATGGGCTGTCTTGGACATCCACTTTACAAAGGATCTGATTGGTACAGTACATGGAATTTAATGGCTTCTACTCAATTATTGAGAATGTTCAGGTATTTATGGAGAATTTTTACGGTGAATTCATAAGAGTTTTGTAAAAACAGAGGCAAATAATGGAGCAGTCTTAAAAATCTTTACAGCAAATCCTTTAGTAACACTACATTACTAAGCTTTCATTATAAAAATAATGGCTTGAATTTCAGGGGTAATTCCGTGTTGGGCAACTCTTTGTATTCTAAGAGATTTCATTCACATACACTGCTAAGCATTGTTTTCCTGGGGAAATGGACTGGTTAAATGTAACTCACTGAAAATTCTCAGCTTTGGTAACACAGAAGTTAATTCTCATATGTTGAGACTGACCAAGTTTCCAGCGACTCCAGAGACCTCCCCCCATTAAGTGGAGGGAGACTTCTCAGTTGAGGATCATTGGAATTCATTTTCTATACTTCTGATATCCGGGGTAGTTCAGGCGACACAAAATTCAGTAACATGCTTTATCTAAATTGACTCCTGCCTTTCAGAATAATTCAGAAATCAATTCAGTTTAGCTGCCTCTCCAAAACGACTGAGCATTATCCAGTCTCATCAAGGAAGCAAATGTACTTACGTAGCATTCTTACAGTTTTCTCTGTCCTGGCAAGTAACATACAGACAGCACCACTTCCATACAAACACCAATAAATCCACCTTGGGTATGTGCCCTTAGCCATCTAGAAATTACGTTATGCACTGTGAAGGTACGACTGCCCCAGTGGTTAAAGTTTTGCATTTTTGTGACTTCAAATTGACCAATAATCTTATAAAGGGAGCTTGTATGAATGCATTTGGAAGAGCTGACTTTAAAAAAATTAGATCCCCTGAGTATTACCTCTAACATACAATAAAGTGCCTAAGAGCACACGTCAGAGATCTAGCTTCAAAATCTAACTGTGTGACCCTGAACGAACCATTAAGTTCTCTCAGCCTCTTTACTGATCTGTACACCTGGGGCAATGCTTCTTAGGGTTGCTTGTTTGTCTGTTTTAGGGCTTAGTACAGGGTCTGGTATGCATGCCTAAAGATTCAGTAAGAGGCTGAATCTTCAGTAAGAGGTTGCAAGTTGGTATTATGCAAGGGTGCTTCTGGAAATACAGACTAAAATGATTTAGACTAAAATCCTCTTGCCTTGAACAAAAACCATACCAGCTGGGGAACCAACCAACCAACAAACAAAAACCTCCTGTTGTTGAAACAAACAGAAAGAAGGTGAGGCAGAGTGTGGTGCTGAGTTGGAATGACTTGGCTATCACAGAAGTTGTCAGCATATAGAACTGCCTCTGATTGTGAGATGTGGAGACTTCAGGTGGCAACTTGATAGTTGGGATAAAATTAGACTAGAATAAAGTTAGCTGTGGGCAAGAGTAATACCGGTCAGAAATAACCGTTTGTATTTGGGGCTAAAACTGCCAAATATGTACATGGTAACATATTCTGCATTAACTCATTTCCCACACACACCTCTCCTGATGGCAGATAAGTACGGAAAGTGCGACTGGGGTCCATTTTATACTGGAGCAGGAATCCTAACTGGTCCAGGAGCACAAACATCTAGGAATGCGGTACCTGGCTTTAAGGTTTCCTATTTCAGTGGTTTCCTGCAGAGCAGGATAGAAATTGAGGGATTGGGCCCCCCGGGGTGGCAGAGTGGGAATGGGGGAAGCTCGAGGTGGCTGTGGTGAGGGAAGAGGGGGCGCTGGACAGGCCCAGGGAGCTGCCAGGGTACTACTGCCAGTGCCCCGCGGGCGCGCCACCTGCGCAGCTCGAGACAGCCCAGGCACCTTCCAGCAGCGCGCCACTCTCGGGGGTCCGCGCACTGCTCGCCCCTGGCCCGCTCTCCGGGGCTGTGTCACTCACTCACGGTCTGGGACACCTTCAACTCTTGGTTGAGCCACTGGCACAAGATCTCCGTCATGATTCGGCCTGGGCCTCCAACAGCAAGCGGGGAGACAAAGCCTACCGGTTTGCGTCCTCCTGTTGCCAAGAGCAACTCGTTGCTAAGGAAGCGTATCCAGGCCGCAGGTCGGTTGAAAGGCTAGGAGAAGAGGGGCGACAGAACTTAGGCGTGGAGGACAAAAAATCGTGGCCTGCCCCCTTCTGGCGGGTACGACTGCAATGTGCGCAGGCGCAAGAGTCTCCAAAGAGCCGGGTGTGTGCGTGTGCGTGTGCGTGTGCGTGTGCGTGTGTGTGTGTGTGTGTGTGTGTGTGTGTTGTGTGTTGTGTGTTGTGTGTTGGGGTGGTGTTTAGGGGATCGAGAAGTTAGCGAGGAGTGGGTGGGTGTACGGAGGTGGTGAGGCAGGAAAAGCTATGGACTGAGTAAGGGGTTCTTGGCGGAGCAAAAAAGAAAGAGCCTTGATGGAAGGGGATTTTTTTCCCCTTTTTGTTTGTCTTTTGAAGAAACCTATCGAAGATCTTGCTCTAAGGGCAGCAATTTGGTCATCGATTTAGAAACTGTCGGTATTAATTGCTATATTGTATGGGCCACCCTGGCAAAGACAGAATGTGTCTAATTCTTTTTTTTTTTTTTTATGTCAGGCAGTATGGAGCCTGACACGCAGTACTCAATGACTTTTTGTTGGTGGTGGCAGAGCCAACCATTAGGATAATTTACCTTTCTATATTGTTTTGAGAGATGAATATTTAGTGAGCTTTTGTTCTGGTCAGACGTTCTTTCCAGAACAATTATTTAAGTTATTTTTCAAAATAATTTACAATTATTTAAAGTTGTATTTTGACAAAGATTTTTACTGTGACCAACCCTGAGTCGGTCTCCTCTGAGCCCTCCTCTCCCAGGGGCCCCACCGTGAGCTCTGCTCTTGGCCCCTTAGTTTAGTTTAGCAAGACTCCTGCTGGATCACATGAGGGAAAATTCCCCATCCTTCTGCCCGATAAAACCCCTCATCCCCGCCCTTGCTATGTGACCCCCCCTGGCCTGCCTCCAGCGAGAATCCTGTCAGGTCAGTGAAGCTGGAACCCATCTTACCCCAATGCAATCACCTCTTTGTAATGTCCCATCTGCTGACTCCAACCTTGGCTAGAAGTCCCTACTTTTCCTTAATTCCTGTTTTCAGAACCTTTGACTTTCTCCCCTACTGAAAAAACCCAGTTCAGTAGTTCCTTGAATAAAGTCTTCCTTACCATTTTTAACAGGTGTCAGAAAAATTTTTCTTTAACAACTTCCAAAAGTTTAGATGGAGTAGCAGAAGAAATATATATACATACAAATTATATATACATATATTTATATGAAAATAAATAGTATATTTGTGAATATCACAAATATAAGGAATTTCCCCAGAAGGTCTGGATACACCAAATTATAAATCTTTTTAACTGTAGGAACGATAACAGTAGTGTCCTACAAGAACAAAAGTCTCTTAAGATTAATGTGGAATTGGTCTGTGTTCCCTCACTGGATCGCAGTTTCGTACTATTTTACTATTGGCTGTGCTTAGCTGTTACAGCTCCGCCCCATGAGCTCCTCACACCTGGCACGGTAGGTTCGACTGCCATGGGAAGTTTGAGGGCGTTTTGCCAACAGAATTGGAGCCTGGTACATTGGACGTGTCTCCCCTTAGAGTTATCCAAATTTGGAAGATTGTAAGAATCTAAAAAGCCTCAGAGCTTAGGGAATATATCTAATAAAGATTTGTTCATAGAAAGCACATCATCCCTGATAATTTTTCTAAGGGTTGGATAGGTACTGAAAAATGGCCTGCAAGATATTCCTGCCTCTTGTCATTCTGGTGGTATACTTAAACTAGTACCACATTTAATAAGAAGTTCAAAGTTTTCATTTCAGTCTGTAGAACCTGTGGAATGGAACCAAAGTTTTCTAGATTGCTGAGAAAATTGCTTGTGGGGGATGATGTAGTTGACAGTCATCAAACTCCTCAGTTGCCCCAGAAGAGAATGAATGCCTGAGCTCATAAACCACCTGCAGATATGGGTTGTTATTCCCATGTGAAAGCACAATATTTCTGTGCCTATTTTTAGGAACTGTCTGATTCTTGTTTGTTGTTTGTTTCAAAGGGTTATTTGTAGAGTTTGTCTTTGGAGGCCAGCTTCAAACAACATAATCTGTCAATGTAATATTTTGGAAAATAAGTTTATATATAGGATTTAGATAAATGAAAATGTAAACACTTTAAAAAATAAAGGCAAAGTTCTTCACTTCATACAAAGCGGATGTTTTTTTTGGCCCCTAAAGCATGTAACATGAAAGTGATCCAACATTAAAGTATTAATAAAAATTTTGAGCTATGAATTTTACTATGTGCTTTTTCTTGAAGTTGCTAATTTCTTTACTAGTCCAAGTTTGTTGGGAACCGCCCTGCCTGGTTTCAGGAGCTGAAACCCACCATGGCTAAGGCTGAGGGAGTGACCTTCGGGCCATAAGCCAGTAAGGAGACAAAGCTTATCTCCCTGGCAGGAGCACTGCTTCTGCTCCTTTTCCCATAACTGGCCCCCAGTGCTTGATCAGTTAGCCAATGACGGGTAAGATTCCCCAAGGGGGGAACAACCTAAGACAGGCACAATCATGTGGAGGCCCCAGGGAAGGACTTGGGGGGCTATAGAGAAAGGGGGTGATGGACCCTTGCCCCCCAGCTTTGACGAAGCTTGAACCCTCAGTATGTCTTTGAGAAGTCTCTGAGAAGTCCTTGGCTATCTGCCTCTTCTGCCTGACTTAAGCCTGAAAACAATGACAGAGGGTGGTACAGTCTTGTGCTGGGAATGGCGAGTTCCCCGAGTGATCTGGCATGAGAAAGAATTCCTAACAATCCTGTGAAACCTGCTTTGTTTAAGAATGCTTTTAGTTAAATAATAAAGGCCTGAGCAAAAAATGAGTTTATGTTCCCAAAGTTCTGTAGCCTTTTAGCTGACAGACCCTGATTTAGAAGAAACCCCAATAGTTCTTTGTATACTATCTACTGTTTACTGCCTGACAATGATTAACAAGTTGTACCTGAACTCCTGTGCGAAAAAACCCAATAAAAGCCTGTCTAGGTAAGGGTCAGCGCGCTTTCCCCTTGAGAGGGTGGCCAGGTCATTCAGAGGTGCTCCCCCCTTGAGGGAGTAGCCACACTGTCCCTTTCCCTCCACAGGACTCAGTAGTCCATGTGAATTTGTCTCATGTCTCATCCATGACGCCGCGGGCACTGCTGGTCAGTGCACATGTCACAAGTTTAACATGAAATCTATTGCTTTCCTATTGAAATCCCAGCTCCGGGCAAAGGTTCTAGCACTGCCCATGTTGGTATTTTGCATTGATCTGATACACTTGTGTGACTTGCTTGTTACACTCTGTGGCATCAGCTGGAAGAGGAGATGATTAAAAATTGGACAGTTTCCCATCACTGCCTGAGAAAGCATCCTCGTTGTTTTTCTAATTAAAACTTTCAGAATATTCAGCTCCTGCATCCCATTGTAACAACAGCAATTTTATAACTAAATTAAAATATTTATTTCTAAAGTATTACCTGTCATTTAACTATAAATCTTTATTTCCCCTCTGTAAATAGAGTGGATTATGACGGGTGAGTTATTTTGAGACCACAAGTAATTCTGAAAATCGTTCTGTGTACTGAGATGAATTATAGCTCATTCTTTTAAAAATAATTGTATCATTTTATCATAATTAGGATTTCACACTATCAGTAAGTGTAAGCTTTCAAACTAGACATGCCAGAGTCTGGATGTTTGTTTTTGATCTGACCAGGTCTTCTACTTTGGAGAAACTGTGCAACGTCTCTGAGCCTTCTTGCCCTTATTTGTAGAATGAGAACGTCAATATTTTTTGACAGAGTTCTGAGGAGTAAATGAGAAGCTGCACCTATGCATATGGGCTCACAATGGACACTTAACAAAATTTTTTTCCTTTTCTCCTAAAACTATATAATTTTTTCGTTGTATCACTGGTTGGCTTAGTAGCTTAGATTTCCTTATAATATTCTTAAGCGTTTTTGAGGCAATTATTCATATAGCTGCTTTCATTTTATTTATGATTAATTCGGTGTTCATGCATGCATAAATCATATACATAGACAAATTCCTAAAAATCTTATTTGATCCTCCCTGTGTGTCCTGCATGCATTTTATCGCGGCCCCTTTCATCGCCTTCAATTGTTCTCTCATTTCCCCTCTCAGCATATTTTCCAATGGCCTCGCTCGCTCTGTATTCATTAACTAAACAAACATTTCCCTTAGTGTCTGCAGTAACCATCCAAGCTAGGGTGACCCTTCCCCTGCAGTCACCCTGCGTGACCAGGCCAGTTCTCAGTCTCAGAAGCCTTCCCTGTTCCTCAGTTCACACACTTTCATGGACTCCACTGGAGCAGTGTTTACTGACATGGGGTTTGACCTCTTAACAAATACGTAATTCCTTTAGTGGGTCATGCCAGGATTTTTTATAAAGGAAATTGTAAAATAGAAGAGTGAGATAGAAATGATCAGAGGGCATTTATTTAATGTAGCCAGAGTAGATGAGTGGGTTTGGGGGGTTGGGTTTTTTTTTTAAACACTTTTGGAGCCACTGGTAGATAGATAAAAACCTCACTGAATTCTTTACGATGTAGCCTCAGCCCAGCCTTAACTGTATGCCGCAAATTCCCTTTGCACAACTTGCTTCCGTTTCTTTACTAGGTTCCAACTTCCTCACCTCTGCATCCTTCCTCTGAAAAAAAAAGGGGCAGGGTCCTGCTTCAGCCAGTCCTTCCTGCCTGTGCTCCAGGGCCTACCTCATCAGCCAGCCCGGTCACAAAACCTCTCTAATCCCTCCACCTTTTCAACCCCTTACCTTTCTGAATTCTAAGAAAAAGCACATTCCCTTTAACTTTTATCCCAGGCACCTAACTCTGATCAACCCTCCAACAATTCAGTTTCACGGTCTTCTAACACTTTTTCAATAAGTGTGGACGTCAGCTCTTAGAAGAGGAGACAACGTCGGCTCCTTATTTATGGCAAATAATAATGCTGTGGAAGTTTCAAAATTCTTGAAGTCTTTTACACTAAAGCATATATGATCCTT